ATTGGGTCCCAGAGCAGTTGTGGATTTCAAGGCGAGCTAGGTCTTTTACATATTATAATGGTATTGTCGATGTGTCAAGGATCTTTTTTTATCACTAACGTCTACGTTAATTGTATTCAGAAATAATAATTTACAATCTTATTAGTAGATTTTGAATAAGAGCTATATTCGCCCTAGGTTGCCTACCATAATGAAGAGTCACTTATGTCATTGTGGAAAAATTCTACTTCCAGTCCTTCATCACCTTATGCCGCCTCGGGTACCTACAGCTCTTATTCGTGCTATTACTGCCAGAAAGTAAGTAGACCCTTTAATAATGTGAAATAATTCAGCCCAATGTGAGGCTTGCTGTGAGTTGCTATGGCTCTGATGCTAAGTGTATTTAATGCCTCATGATCTTGGCAAGGTTCCGCCTTGATGCCTATTTTTCCCATAGTATAAGAGAAATGAATCTAGATTAATAATTATGAAATGAGCCAAAAGCATTTAAGCATAGCAACCTGGTTGACAGGATATCACAGTTAGTTTGCCTTTCATCATTCTTCTAGGACATGAAACTTTCCATCTCGCACATTGAAACTCGTAAATCTCGCCACTCCGACGTGATGGTTACCAAAGAGTTAGCTACTCACTCTACCGAATCAACAACAACTGAATCATCGACAACGCCGGAGTTCTATTCTCCCGCGATCAGCTACGAGGTGTACATCGACGTCGAGGTGAGTAGAGTCGAGGCTGAGGAGTTGATAGGGGCACTAAGGCAGCGAGTCGCTAGCCGAATCGTTGTGCAGACACAACTGGCCCAGACAGAAGTTAGCAACTGGCAGACTATTTGTGATGGTGCCACTGGTCGACAAATAGCCTTCGGGGACTCGGAATCGAAGGCTCCTGGCACTGGTTTCAATGGGGGCGAAAGAATTCTGAAGCCATTGAGACTACGAAGTCAAGGTAATCGATATATTATCATTTCTTATTGCCTTTTGTAAATATTTTTGAGCATTTTTAGGTGTACTGTGCAAAGCCTATTCTTAAGCCTGAAATACCTGTCGTTCCCGGTTCTGTTTAAATACTTTGTCATTTTATTGAACACCAAATTTCTTGAGCAGTTTATATGAAGTTGTTC